CATCTTCCTGCCAGTTTCCACCATGCCTGTAGACAAGATCTGCTGAAACTATGCTTCCAGCAGGTGTAGCAAGAAACCCGCTGCACCTTCGGTGCGCCAAGACATGCCAGTCGAAATTGACATTCATGAACAAGTATAGCGCCACACTGCCATACTCGTCGGAATGTCGCGGCATGTCCTGCTGTGTTGCCAAAGCAGTCTTCAATCTGCCTTGCCCTTGCTTGAAGCCAAGGCTGGCGCGCAAGCAGTGTGAGATGCAGTTGTGTTTCATGATCACTGAACGGCAACAACATTTGAGAGCTGTTTTTTTCCACTAGCAGCCTGAGTAAGTAAGTTTGAACAACCAAGGCAAGGAGCTCCAACAAATAGATCATTCGACAGCAACTGTTCAACTGCGGGTGCAGAGCTGGTTCTAGATGCAGCTTTGTCGACAATGTGGTGCGCATGGAGTTGCGGAAGCTTTATGTTGAAGAGGCGAAGGGCAATTCCTGCTGTCGCCAACGACAACACAACCGAAAAAACAAAGTCGTGCAGTGTTACCAGATGCCTGCATACCCTACTCGAAGAGCTGCACAGCCAACCCAGGGCGGGCCCTTGCTCATGGATTGACAAAGCATTGCGCTGCGTTTTTTTCTGGCTGCAAAATGTGCGAAGAGACTGTTGCGGCAGCAATTCAAGTAAAACACTGGCAAGACTGCGTGGCCGCAGTTTGCGTCTAGCGATGCTCGAAGACTGTCTCCTTGGGCTGTCTGTGTCTAGCAATGCTTGATTGTCTCCTTGGACTCATTCTTCTGATTCAGCAGCTTAATAATCATCATCTCTATCTTGTTGACACGGCCTTGCACCCCTGTCAGCTTGTCCAAGATATCCTTAAGCACTTCCTCGGGCGGGAGCGGCGGCGGACTCAGCGGCGGCGGGGAGGTGCTGGTCCACGCCGAGGATGCCTGCGATGATGGCGGCAAGCGATCATACACGGCGCCCACCCAGTTAGTACACATCGGCGGTTCGCAATTTTCGGACCGAACTTTGAAGGCCTCATCCCTGGTGTAGCGCCAGCTGTGCTGCAGGCCAGCCTCAGCCTTTCCCTCCAGCAGGCACACGCAGCAAATCACCTCAAAGTTCTGACCGCAAACCATCACACCGCTGTCTTTGAAGGGTAGTGGTGAAGAAATGATGGAGAGCCGATCAAGAGGACATGTAAGACTTTCAGGGGATCCGAGCGGGGAACGGCCACCCAAGGAAGCTCGGGTTTCCAAACAAGAAAAGAAAGAAGAGACCTTTGAGTCCACCCAAGAGAGCCAAAAGCTCCAAACAGGCAGGCCAGGCAGTAGCACGGTAGCGCATGATCGCTCCCAGTTTTCAGTAGAGGAAGTGATAGATTCCGGAGCCATGGCACAACTGCAGCTGGGGAGACCGGCGAGCTCTTCGAGCATGATCTGTTCCGGATGCAACGCCAGAAGCAGGAACGTGCGGAGATGACGCCCGTGAAGCAGGCGAGGCGATTCGGAGACTCAGCCAATGTTGTCTTGCCGGAGCCAGTGGAGAAGAAGCTGGAGGACGGCCAACCTGTGTACTTTATGGAGGAGGATGAGCAGATCGTGATGGATTTGTGCCAAAATCCTAGAAGGAATGGAAGCTTTTGGAGCGATGCCCGGAAGCGTATTACGTGAAGAAGATCCGCAACACCGAGGTGAACGTGAGGAAGTTGAACTCGGAGCAGCTGGCAGAGTTCGACAAGGCCAAGCACGTGGAAGTGCAGTCATGGGCGCGAAATGCAGCAGTTCGGAGAGCTGGCAACATGGTGACGACCGAGCGGTGCATCAACATGAGGCGGGTGCTACGCTACAAGGAGAGCGGCGCACCGAAGGCACGGATCGTCCTGATCGGGTATCAGGATCCAGATGTTGAAGGTCTGGCGACGGCGAGTCCAACCATGAGTCGCCGAACACGCCAAGCAGTTCTGCAGCACAAGTGCTGTAGAAAGTGGCGAGCCTTGAAAGGGGATGTGCGTGCGGCTTTTCTGCAAGGCGCATCTTCGGAGGAGGACAGTAAGCTGTTCGCCAAGCCTGTGCCGGAGTTGGCATGCGAGATGGGTTTGAAGGAAGGCGAGCGCGCGCAGATCCTCAAGAGCTGCTACGGTTTGATCACGGCACCGGCATCCTGGTTTCGAGATGTCACCAACACGTTGCGGAAGGCTGGGATGGAGCCTTTGATCACGGACCCTTGCTGCTGGAGGTTCAGAGTCAAGGACGAGATGTCGGGCGAGATGGTGACGTAAGGTTTGGTGTGTGCCCACGTGGATGACTTCATCGGTGGGCAATGAAGGTTGCGAGGAATGGGTGGATGCGTTGACCCAGTTCTGAGCAGGTGACGGAATTTGAGCGCGGCCAGATCAGAGGTCTACTTGGCGCACTTCAGCGGCGATGCTATAACACTGCACCACAGCATGCTGCGAAGTTGTCACTTCTGCAGTCAGAGATCAGTGTGGCGACCGTGGCGACCATCAAGAAGCTGAACAAGTTGCTTCGGGAGTGCCAAGCTCAAAGGCACATCTCGATCAAGGTGAATGTGTTGCATTGTGAGCCGGAGGAGGTGAACTTCGTGGGCTGGTGTGATGCGGCGCTGGGCAACAGGCCGGGGAACACCAGTACTGGAGGCTTTGTCATTGCCGCCACGAGCCCAAAGATGCTGAAGAATGCATGAGACGGCGCCGCTGTCGATCATGGCTTGGAGATCGGGGCGCTTGCCACGGGTAGCTCGGTCGTCTCTTGGAGCAGAACTTCAAGCGATGTCGGAGTGCGAAGAGGAGCTCATGTTTCTGACGTTTCAATGGGCAGAGACGTGTGGGCATGAAGCCCAACCTGGCCAGGTGCGGGAGCTGCTGGAGAAGGCGCCAGGTGCTTTGGCTCTACGACGTGGTCAAGAAGCGCACGATGAATTCGGCTGGGGCTGGACTCACGGAGAAGTACAGCACCATGGAGTTTTTGAGCCTCATGCAGATCCGTCCGCTGGGTTCACAGCGATGCTCAACTCGCGGATGCCCTGACAAAGGGGCTGACGCATGGCGGGGTCCTGGCAGAAGGGAAATGGACAATTGTCCATGACCCGCTGTTTAACGGAATGAACCAATGGCTTTGGTTTGGAGTTTCGGGGCGTTGTGGTGTTTTTCGTTTGGTCGCCTCTGGTTCGAGTGTTTGCAAACCGCTGCCACTGGTTCAATCCCTAGGGACCCCTTTTGCCACAGGCTTACTTTAGCATAGAGAAGAAAAAGGGCGGACAGCTGCCCTCGCGCATGGTTTTGTGCCAACAGGCAGCTGTCTGTCTGTCTGTCTGTCTGTCTGTCTGTCTGTCTGTCTGTCTGTCTGTCTCTCTCTCTCACTCTCATTCTCTCTCGCTCTCTCTCTCTCTCTGCATTGCAGCGTCAAGACCCTTGACTTGCCTCAATGTCCAGACTGTCTGCTTACTGGCTTTCCCCGTGATTTCCTCTTCATGCCCTTTTCACGTTTCCCATGATGCCCCGGTCATGTCCCTTCCGTTCCTTCTAACTCCCCGTTCATGCCCCTGTCATATTCTCGATGCCATGCATGTCCCGGTCTTTCGTCGCCAGTCATTTCCCACATTTCCCGTCGTGTCGGTTGGTGCCCTTGTCCTTTGTTTCCCTTTCATTCCCCCTGCGCTCCCCGGGTTGTCTGTCTGTCCCGCTTCCCTTTCATGTCCCCTTGCTGTCGTGTCATGTCGACTTCCCCTTTTCCCCCCTCATTTCCTTGCATTGCCGTGCATTTCCTGACATTCCCCTTCGCTCCCCAGTATTTTCCCGCAAAAAGAAAACACGTTTTTCCAGCGTTGTCAAAAATCACGGAGTTTTGCGAGATGTTCCTGCCATTCCCCGTTTGCTCCCCAGTATTTCCCGCAAAAAGCACAGTTTTCCTAGCATTTTCGTGCATTTCCTGGAAAAGGAAGAGGAGAAAGAAAAGAAAGAGAAGGAAGAAAGGAAAAAAGAGGAGAAACAAGAAATAGAAAAAAGGAAGAGAAGAACGAGAGGAGAGAGACGAAAGAGAAAGAGAAGGAAGAGAAAGAAAAGGAAGAGAAGAAAGAGAGGAAAAGAGAGAAGAAAAAGAAAGAGAAGGAAGAAAGGAAGAGAGGAAAGAGAGGAAAGAGAGGAAAGAGAAGAAAGAGAAAGAAAAGGAAGAGAAGAAAGAGAGCAAGAGAAAAATGATAAAGAGAAGGAAGAGAAGAAGGAGAACGAGAGCAAAGAGAAGAAAGAGAAGGAAGAGACAAAGAGAAGAACGAGATGAAAGAGAAGCAAGAGCAGAGAAGGAAGAAAGGAAAGAGAGGAAAGAGAAGAAAGAGAAAGAGAAGGAAGAGAAGAAAGCGAGGAAAGAGAAGGAAGAGAAAGAGAAGAAAGAGAAGGAAGAGACAAAGAGAAGAAAGAGATGAAAGAGAAGCAAGAGCAGAGAAGGAAGAGAAGAAAGAGAGGAAAAGAAGAAAGAGAAAGAGGACAAAACAAAGAAAGAGAAGCAGAAGGAAGAGAAGAAGGAGAAGAAAGAGAAGGAAGAGACAAAGAGAAGAAAGAGAGGAAAGAGAAGCAAGAGAAGAGAAGGAAGAGAGGAGAGAGAGGAAAGAGAAGAAAGAAACAGAGAAGGAAGAGAAGGAAGAGAAGAAAGAGCGGAAAGAGAAGAAAGAGAAGAAAGAGAGGAAAACAGAAACGAAAGAGAAAGACACTTCACTCAATATAATTTCCGAAAACAGGCGCCGATCGATGAACTTGCAAACGCCTATAGGTGGTTGCTTGACTATACTGGGTTCGTGGTTGAAACATTTGTTGCGCATGGACAGAGTCGTGGCTAGGAGTGTGCTGGCGAGCGGAATGGAGCAGAAGGGAAGGAAAGGGCAAGAAAAGAAATAAAATCAGAGGGAAAACTTGAATGAAAGATGGAATCAAGTCAGCTTTGCCCAAGCTCTGACAGAAGCAGTCAGTCTGTTTCCCATTCCACGACGCCATGCAAGCCTTCAGAGCACACGTGGTCTTTTGGTTGATACCCAGCAGCCTTGCTCAGTACTATTGTTGCATCGATGGGAAGTGTCCATACAAGGATCCCACGCCATCTGGCTTTGATTGCTTTCAGTCGGAGTCCAAATGCAACTCCCAATGCGGTGGAGGTCATGACACTTGTTGGGGTTGCCAAGATGGGAAGTGTACTCCATGTGGCTGTGAGGGCGTGTGCCCTGGAAGCGGAGACTTTCCTTTTCAAGACAAAGCAGTCTGTGATGAACGCTGCGCAGGCCCCCAGGCCACCTGGCTTTGTGCCTACGGGTGCCAGACATCTCAGCAGTGCTTCACCATGGCCCAATGTGAGGAAGCTCCAGCGGGTAAGGACCCGTGTGATGTGGAGAAGGCAAAGCAGAGCTGCCCCGGCACCTTCATGCAGAAATTCAATCCACACATGTACACCGACAACAGGTGCCCCATGGATGCCAAGAGCCTCATTGCCGGCAACACCGGCTGCAAAGCTGCTTTGGAGATCTTCAACTCGACGCTCGAAGATCCGTGCCATGATGACCCAGATGGATCTAAACATAAGTGCTATGCAGATTGTACTGCATGCTTCAACGAGCGTGGAGCTGGGTCAAAGTGGTGCCAGCCCCCTGCAAGTGGAGGATTTGGATGCGACACCGGCTATGATTGCAAGTACCTGCTGGATGATCAATCTTGCAGCTTCTTCTGTGGATGCTCTGTCAAACCCACTCCAGGCAAATGCCCGCATGCCCCTGATGATGCTTGGAGAATGTGCCGAGATCCAGCCAAGGGTGGAGGCCCACAGTGTGTTTGGTGCCAGGATAAGCAAACTTGCGTCGCTTCTGAAGGCAAGGTCTTCCCAAAGGGTTTCGATCCATCCTGCGGAGACCCAACTACTCCACCGTTGGAGAGCCCGGAGCCCAACACACAACTTGTGCGTCTACAAATGTGCCGATGATGTGGCCGAGTACGTTTGCCTGGACGATGGCTGCCCAGATACATACGGAGATTGCTCTCGCGCATTTTGGTACAACGTGGCCGCTGATGGATGTGGTGAACTGGGCAGCCATACGTATGATTCTGGTGGTGAAAAGGTTGGAGATCAAACGGATGCTCACGTCTCCATCAATGGAAATGCCATGCACCAAGTGGCCCTCGCCTACTGAAGTCCCGGCGCTTGGCAACTTTGAAGGGGGAGGTCTTGGAAGATGTGAGCGCAGATGACATCGCAAATGGCATCAAAGACTTGGAGGACAAAGGGCTTTCTATGGCAGAGAAGGGCTTGTGCTCCTGGATGACTGGAGGGGCTGGCTCTCGCCTGTGCGGCTTTGTGGTGAATTCCCCTGTGGTCCAATGGGTCAACGACAAGCTTCTCAATTTGCCCTTCGCATCTCAAGTTACTCATCAGCTCGCCACAAAAGCTGCTGGGGCTTTGGGACCTGTGGCAGAGGTTGTGGTGGGAGCACTCACGGCGGTTGCAAAGGTGGTGAGCACTGCTGGAGATATCATCAACGCTTGCAAGAATGCAGCTGTGAATGTTGCTCATACCGTTCTCCACTGGTTTGGGTGGATGGACAGGAGTGTCTTTGCAACCATCACTGGTGAGCGAGGTCGTCTTTCATTGCCACCTACTGAACTCAAAGAGACAGCTGAAGGTGTGCTTGTTTGAACGGCCGATTTCTGCAGTGACCTGGCAAGAGATGAAAAAAAGTAAAACATGAGATGATGGGATGAAGTGGGACAAAATTAGAGAAGGAGGATCCCTGCGGACTTGGTGGGACATGTCATTCATGTTTGATACATCAGACGGTATTTCTCTGGTCCATTTGGGATTCCTGTGGGTTGGTGGTCGTGCCCAGGTTTTAGAGACCAAAAAGATGCGTGAGGACGCCGTCCTGTCATATGTCCTCATGCTAGGCAAAAGAGGCTACAAGCAGCTATGAACTAGGAATGACACCACAGCTTTTGACATGGCTTAGACCATGCTTAGACCATTTCAAAATATGACCAAACTTTGCACATCTCGACAGTTTGGCCCCTCAAAATGATCCCGGGATATCCTGCAAGACTGGAAGCTGAGCTGAGAACACATTTTGACCCGTGAGTGAACTGAAAAGCATCGGAAAAGAAAGGACCTGAAATTGAGACACAGGCTGCGAAGGTGTGCAATCCTGCCTATCCTGCCAGTCTTTCCACTCCGGCAACGCAATCTGAAGAAACAAACGAAGTCGACACCCACCCACCCACACAAAAGTTGCAGCTGTGCCCTTTTCTGTTCGAAAACACAAGGAACAGAAAGATTCACTCGGCTGGAGTGCACGTCGGGGCACGACACTGGGCACATGTCAACATACGCATCAAGACAGCTTCTCGATGCCATGGTCGACCCGAAGCCTGCCTCAAGCTCCTTACGCAAGCTATGCGGGGCAGTCCTTACTGTCAGACAGGTACCGGTGCAGAACAGTGTGGATTTCATGTCGCGCAATGTCAGGTCCGTGAAATCCATTGATTCATTGCTCTTTGTGGTTGCACTTGATCAATGATAGACGTTGCACCATGACTCAGTCCACATCCCTTGCATGTCACAGCTCTGGATGTCTCCTGCCCAAGGCAACCAGAAGCTGCTGAGAGCGGGCACAATGAGGTGTCTCCGAAGAATTTGACAAACTTTGGTTGGTTGGTTTGTTGGTTGGTTGCTTGGTTGGTTGGTTGGATGGTTCGTTGGTTGGTTGGTTGATTGGTGGGTTGCTTGGTTGCTTGGTTGCTTGGTTGCTTGGTTGCTTGGTTGCTTGGTTGCTTGGTTGCTTGGTTGCTTGCCTGGTTGCTTGCCTGGTTGCTTGCCTGGTTGCTTGGTTGCTTGGTTGCTTGGTTGCTTGGTTGCTTGGTTGCTTGCTTGGTTGCTTGGTTGCTTGGTTGCTTGGTTGCTTGGTTGCTTGGTTGGTTGGTTGGTTGGTTGGTTGGTTGGTTGGTTGGGTTGCGCCACCCGGTCTACCCGCTATCTTGCATTTAGAAGACGCCTGAACAAATAGCGCAGGCCTCAAAAAAGTGAGTTGTGTCAAGAATTACGTTGATCATTTAGTTGCTTCTACCACCTGGTTCATGGTGATCACCATATACACACCACCTTTGCGTTGGCTGAAAGGTTTCGGACACCACCTTGAGCACAGTAAGAATTTACTTCCTGTTCAGGCAGTGCGAAGCTTTCATTTGCGAGGATGCAAATTCTCATCCTACTTCCCTGCCAGTGTTGCAACTTCTGGGATGATGCTGTGGCCTCAGCTTGCTTTGGGGCTTGAGACATTTTGCTCCAAGCTCAGGATGATATCAGGAAGCAAGTATTTTATTGCAGCAAATGCGGAATATGTCGAGTCGGTGGACGTGAAAATTACTGTGTGCCACCTAGACGAGATACACGCAGATGCTTGCCACAAGGCTTATACATGCTCAGCGCTCTTGCGCTCTTGCACTCGCTGAGTTCATTGCGATTGCAGCGGGAGCTGCGTGATTCTCAGGGAATTTGGCCCATGTGCCTTTGGCAAGCTCCGTCTTGCGCTTGCGCTTCCGATTTTATCTCCCGTTCTATCCCGTTTTCTCTGAGTCCTTCATTTTGCAGGCTACCCGGCAGAGATCCGGGAGTCCCATACGTGTGTCGAGAACGCCATGCGACGGAATTGTCCTCTATGCCTTCAGGTATGGCACGAACATGAAGCATGATCTTGAAGACTTGATTTGCATTTTGATGATTTCTCATGGAATGGACACATGCATCATCTCTTCCAATCTGTTACCCAAGTCACCATTCTTCAGTGCGGCCACACGATCCACCAGGCATCCTGCAAACTGAGATGTCTTTTTATGATCAGTTTTGCATGGCGAACATTTGCAGGACTGCCTTAGAGAGCTGCAGATGTCGTTTGCCGGTGCGAGACTTCGGGACTTCGGGACTTCGGGACTTCGGAACGGGAATCGAGGCCTGCAGTCATTGCGCTGCCCGATCTGCAGCGCTGCGACCCCGGGTTCGGAAGAGGTTGGAAGAGGTCGGAAGAGGTCGGAAGAGGTCGGAAGAGGTCGGAGGGTTGTTACATGAGGCTTCAGAGGCTTCAGAGGCTCTGAAGGGGTTGTCTACCCCCTCGCCCGGATGCGGCGCTGCCAGTGCCCTGCGCTCCGCTGGAAGCTCGAGCTGCTGCGCGGCGCCACGCCTTCCGGGACGCAGCTCAAAGACATCCTGCGGGGCCACCGCGCCCCGAGCGGCCTTGCGGCGGAGAACCAGGCCAACCCGACCTTGAACGATGTCCGCCAGATTCTGCGGGAGACGCCCAACACCCTGATGCTGACAATTACGCGCCGCGGCGCGGACAAGCTCAACCGCCTGGCCATTGAGGCCTTGTTCGGCGACTCCCCGGCGCTGCAGTGGCTGCCCTGCGACCCCGACGCGAACCTGGCCAACTTCCACGGGTCCTGGCAGCTGGGCGCGGAGCCGGCGTGGCTGCCGCTCCACCACGGCGCGCGGGTGACGCTCACGCGCAACTTGGACAAGGCCAACTCCTTCGTGAATGGGATGATGGCCACTGTTCGCGGGGCGCGGCAGAACGGGGTGGGGGTGTTGACGGACTCGGGGGTTGTCCTGCTGATCCACCCCTACACCCAGGACTTTGAGTTGGCGGACGGTCACTCCACCCGCTGCGCGCGGGCTACGCGACCACGCTGATGAAGATCCAGGGCGCGACTGTGGACCATGCAACCATCTGGCTGGACGCGGTCTACGTCCAGGCGGCGGCCTACGTGGCCATCAGCCGCGTCCGCGGGATGCGGATTGGCGCTTTGTGGGCGCGGTCACCCGGCGCCGCTGCGTGCCAGCCCAGGTGTGAGAGGACCGCGGGGGCGCGCGCTTCGTTGTTCCCAAAAAAAGAAGAAGCGACGTGTAGGCCGTCGGAAAGGTAAAGTTTAGGGAAGCCCAAACCCTAAAAGGCGGAGCGTGCAAAGGGTGGGGGCCGCTCTCTCGGCGCTGGGTGGGAAAATTGGGCGGGGCGGCCGTTCAGGCCCCCGCTTTCGCCCGCGCAATCGCTGAGCCCAAGCGGCAAGACTGCCCTGACTAAGCGCATGTCAAAGCTGCCGAAAAACTTACAGCCAAACTTCTTCCACGCGCCGCCGAGCGCAAAACCCTAAACCCTAAACCCTAAACCCTTGGCTTCCCAGGGTTGGCTTTCCTAGTAGCTTCTCTTCCTGGGCCAACCCTTGCCAATTCCTTGTGGAAGCCCCCAGCCCCCAGACTCCCGTTTTTGCTTCTTGCCTGCTTTTTTCCCCTCCCCCCTGTGTCTGCCAACCGCCAAACCCTAAACCCTAAAAGGTGAACCCCAAAACTGCAAAGCCTAAACCCTAAACCCTAAATCCCAAACCCTAAACCCTAAACCCTAAAAGATGAACCCCAAAACTGCAAACCCTAAACCCTAAACCTTAAAATCCAAACCCCTAAACCCTAAACCCTAAAAGATGAACCCCGAAACTGCAAACCCTAAACCCTAAAATCCCAAACCCTAAACCCTAAACCCTAAAAGATGAACCCCAAAACTGCAAACCCTAAACCCTAAAATCCCAAACCCTAAACCCTAGACCCTAAAAGATGAACCCCAAAACTGCAAACCCTAAACCCTAAACCCTAAAATCCCAAACCCTAAACCCTAAACCCTAAAAGATGAACCCCAAAACTGCAAACCCTAAACCCTAAACCCTAAAATCCTAAACCCTGGCCTGGCCTGGCCAGGCCTGGCCTGGCCTGACCTGGCCTGGCCTGGCCTGGTCTGGTCTGGCCTGGCCTGGCCTGGCTTGGTTTAGGTTAGATACAGCCATGAACCAACGCTGAAGCCTCTACAACCCCCTTTTACACCTTTTGGAACAACAACTTTTGCACGCTGTTCTGTACATGTTTCTGACAATGCTTCAGTACATGTTGCAACCATTTACACTTGAGGTTTGCAAGAATGTTAGACATTCAGTTTTACATCGATGGCTCATCGCGCATACAAGACCCTGCGCCCACAGATGGCAGTTCCAGAAGGATTTACAATGGGGCCTGTAGATGTCATCGTCCCGACCACACCGGAGGGCCACAGGACTACACCACTGTGATGATACCACTTACAGTGGAACAATACAACAACTGTCACATCCAAGCCGAACCAGGTACAGAAGATTGCAGGCTACATGCGATGCCCCACATTGGGTTTCGTTGGGATGTTGCACAGCATCATGGATTGCATTGGCTACATTAGCTGGTTGATACATGAGGGCCACGACAGCACAGTCGACTCGGGCACATTCTTCGTGTACAAGCTCAGCTTACAGACAGGTGAACTGTTTCAGAAAGTTTACAAGAAGAGGATTACAGTTTTCAATCGCGGATACATTGGACAGGTTCTGCAGCTACACAAGGAGTGTACATGGGTTTTGACACCTACAGAGCAGGCATCCGGGATTTTCTACAAGCTGACAAGTCACATCACAAATCTGCACAGGAATTACAATTAGACCAAGGAGCACATCATCTTGCAGCACATCATTATCCCCATCGAGAGGGTGCTGCGTACAAAGGATCCACTTGACAGGATCCATGCACGATGGCTTTGAATCATCCCGTACATCGTTCAGCACGGGATACAGCTGATGGGGAAC